ATCGAAGAGCAATTACATAGTTTAAATGGATCAGGATGTTAACTATTACATTGCCAGCACCCTAGAAAGGTAGGCTTTTTTTGTTTGTTTGTTTGTTTTTGTTTGTTTTCGAGACAGGGTTTCTCTGTATTGTTTTTGGAGGCTGTCCTTAAACTAGTTCTGTAGACCAGGCCTGCCTCTGCCTCCCGAGTGCTGGGATTAGAGGTGTGCACCACCAACACCTGGCCAAAAGGTAGGCTTTAAGAGTCCTTCCTAATGACTTTCCACTCCTTGCTCAATTCCAAACCATTTTTGTGGTGGCCATTGTTCTGTAATACTGACTCTCTTCCTATCTTTACAGTTATAAAATCAAAGGATTTTTTCCTCTCAAAATCATGTTTATGAGGAACTGGGTGTTGTGACACATGTGTGTGATCTCAGGAAGCTAGTGAGGTCTGGAGCATTTGAGGAGCTTCTGGGTTGCATAGTGACTTCAAGGCCATTTTGTGCTGTGTGGTGAAAGTCTGAAAAAATTCATTTGCATTGACTACGTGACTGTATGCTTATTTAATTAAAATGATTGGGGCTCAGTGACAAGAGCACTTGCTGCACAAGAATGAGGACCTGAATTCAGATCCCTGCACCCATATAAGAGGCTGGGTGTGTCCATGTGTGCTTTAACTCCAGTGCTGAGGAGCGGTGGAGGATCATTGAGCTTGATGGCTGCTGATGCAGATCAAAAGCTCCAGGTTCAGTGAGAGATTCTTTTCTTGAGGGAGTAAGACAGAAAGTGATAGAGGAGGGTACCTGATGTCCTCTGGCCTTCACACACACACACACACACACACACACACACACACACACACACACACACACACACACACACACAGAGCAAGCATACCTGTGCATGTGTGTGTATGCTCATACATACACACACACATGTAAATGAACACCCCACCCTAAAGATAGTTCAGTTATTAAAGTTCTTGCCATATAAGCATGAGGACCTGAGTTCAGATCTGCAGAACTCATGTAAAATGTGTACCTTTAATCCCAGCACTAGGGAAGCAGTGACAGGCATTTCCCTGGAGTTGGTTGGAAAGCTAGTTTAGTTTTGAGACAAGGGAGAGACCTTGTCTCAAAAAATAAGGTTGGACTTTGGTCTGGAAACTAATTTAGAACTAACCTGAAAACTCCCTTCCTGTTGACTGACTGGCTTTCATGGGACCAGAAAATACTATTGCATTCCACTGGGGGAGAAAAATCTACCAGTGGTATTACCTAGTAGTGAACCCTGCATGCCTCAATACTAACTAGACAAGCAAAATGTGCCCACTGGTGTAATCATAGTAAAAGGTTATGAGGGTGACCAACACTTTTGGATTGGATTTGAGGGAGACCTGCTCCACAGGATAGAATTCATGCCTGGTACTATAAACCTGGCTGAAAGTTATAGCTTAGGAGGTCAAAGGTCAAACTGTTGTCTTGCTAATCGGACAAGCTGTGGTCAAATTGCTTTCTAAATGCTTATGTTTATACATATAGATTATTGATACAGTCAACTTTGGGCCAAAGAAGCTGTCTGTGCAGTGGGCTGCAATTAATGCTGAGATTCATAACTGGCTAATATGCTGAGAATAAGTAATTATTGAGTGCTCAGCCTTAAATGGGACATCTATCTCACACCGTCCCCGCCCCTCAAGGCTAAAGGAACATCCGGGAAGAGGGGCCGGATGAAATGTAAGAGCCAGAGGAGCAGAAAGAAGTGCTATGAAGTGTTATCTTCTGGGTTACAGCCATTATACTCACGAACTCACCTGCATATGATCAAGCCAACGAGAGAAGTCAGCACAGGGACTGGAGATATGGCTTAGTGGTTAAGAGTACTTGCTGCTCTTCAGGGTTGCTGGGTTCAATTCCCAGTGCCCGTATGATGGTTCACAACCACCTTTAGCTCTCAGGCACTCACCTGGAGCATTTTCTTACACATAACGGAACTGAAAAGGGATGAAAGGCAGGAGAGATGTGATATAAAGTGGGGAGGTGCTTGTGGGGAGTGGGAAGGGTGATTTGGGGGTATCTTGATTATGATCATGATACATTGTTTTCATGTATGAAACTGTCAAATAATAAAAGAGATCCTATTAAAATTAAGGTGGAGATAGCCGGACATTGGTGGTGCATGCCTTTCATCCCAGCACCCGGGAGGCAGGGGCAGGCAGGTCAGCCTGGTCTACAGGAATGAGTTCCAGGACAGCCAGGGTTGTTACACAGAGAAGCCCTGTCTCAAAAAACAAAACAAAACAAAAGTTATAAAAAATAAGACGGAGAGAAACCGAGAAAGGTACTTGAGGTAGATTTTTGACCTTCATACATGCACATGTACCTGGAAACACGTGAACATACATACACACAATAATCACACATACACAAATTTAAAATTCAGATGTGGTGGTGTACACCTGTAATCACAATGCTCAAGAGGCTGAGGCAGGTGAATTTCTGTGAGTTTGAGGCCAGCCTGACCAACAAAGCAAATTCCAAGACAGCCAGGACTACACAGAGAAACCCTGTCTTGAAAAAACCAAAAAATCAAGAACAAGACAGGTTCTAATGTAGCCCAAGCTAGCCTTGACCTCACTTATAGCTTGAATTCCTGATCCTCCAACCTCCTAAATGCTAGGATTACAAATCCAGGGCGTTGTGCCTTCTAGGAAAGCACTCTACCTAATGACCTACACCCCAGTCCCATCTCATATTTTTTAGTTGAACCCTATGACTCAGCCATCAGATGCTACTCCTAGACATAAAGTAGAGGAAACTAACATGCTCAAAGCCATCACTAGCTACAAAGGTTGTCTGAAATTGTAAAATAAAGCTTGAAATAGTTACTTGTTGATTACATTGCATGCAAACCCAATGTATCACAGCAGTATATTTCATTATACAACAAATAAACAAATGGCCTCCTGAGTGCTAGGATTAAAGGTGTCACCATCACTGCCTGGCTAGAACCTGTCTCAGAGAGAGAGAGAGAGAGAGAGAGAGAGAATGTAAAATAATTCTTGATCCTTCTAGCTTATTTCTTTTTTTTTTTTTTTTTTTTTTTGATTTTCAAGACAGGGTTTCTCTGTGGCTTTGGAGGCTGTCCTGGAACTCACTTTGTAGACCAGGCTGGCCTCGAACTCACAGAGATCCGACTGCCTCTGCCTCCCGAGTGCTGGGATTAAAGGAGTGCGCCACCAACGCCCTGCTTTTTTTTTTTTTTTTGCCTTCTAGCTTATTTCAAAATTGCCTTTTCAGTTCTTGACACAGGGGGCTCTGGGTGTCCATACCAGATGTACGGTCAATTCGAAGTGACCTTGGTCTTGAGGGCTGCAACCCTGATTACCAATGGCAATAAATATGCTACTCACTCAGTGGAAGGAGTCCCATCTGTGGAGGACATCAGCATCTGCTATCTTTATGGTTCCTGCCTCCTATTAGTCATTGCAACGGGACAGATGAATACTGAGTTGCCCTATTCAGGCTAAAGGTCTTCCAGCTGAGCAAGAATTTGCTCACTCAGGTAGGTCAGATATAAGGGGGTGGGTGGAGACAGACCTTGTTTGCTCTGTCAAAGGCATACAGGTCATCTGGGGATGTTCATTACTTAAAAGTCTGAATATGAACTCTCCCTTAATGTTAGTGAGGCCTGAGGCAAAAGTACAAATGGATGACTACTGAAATTATTTAAAATTACAAACCTTTCCAATGCACTGTGAGCCTTACTGGAGTCTAACCTTCTGTTTTGACTAATGTGCATCATTATGGTTTGAATGTAGACCTTTGAAATGACCCTAGAACAGATTTGAATTTAGAATTCCTAGAATCAAAATAAATAAAGCCGGAAAGAAAAAGAGTAGAACTTGGTGGCTCAGCCCTGAAACCCCAGCTTTTCAGGAGACTGAAGCAGGAGACTGTGTTTCAAAACAAAAAGTAGAACAAGAGCTATGGATTTAGCTGAAATGTGGAGTAAGGTTAAATCCCTAGGACTGCAGCAGAAAAAAAAATAAAGAAGCAGAAAAGCAGAGATCCCTTGGCTTTGGGGTATGTGCACTTGAATAAGGTGGTGAGAGGAGCTCCGGCTACTGGCCCCTGGCTTCCCTTCCCTCTCTCATCCGTCTTGCACCACGAAGGATCCGTGAACACGCACAGCAGCTGGAAAGTCTGAGTGCTATGCCACCTCCTCCAAACATAGCTGCCCTTTGGTCTACTCTGTCTTGTAGAAAACGGAGACACCAAAACTTCGGCCACGAGGGGAGGGAATTCTGGGCTCACAGGAAGGCAGGAGGATTTGGTCTTGAAGTCCAGACTGTGGACAACTTGTCCTAGAGAGGCAGCAAGGTGTGAGCAGGGCTGGAAAGGAGTCTTGGAAGAATAGAGCCTAAGACGACTCTCTTGCTCAGGCAATCGGGCCATGCTTTCTGTATGTAATTTCTCTTCTCAAGTCAGGAGTGCAAGCGCTGCGTCTGCTATATTTCTAGCAGCTTCCCTGGCTTGGGCACATAAAAGTCAGACATAGTGGCTTAATGGAAAGTACACTGGCTTTCACATCAGAAAACCTGGGGCCCAGGCCAACTTCTGGCCATAACATTTCTTCCTATTTTATTGCCTCATTTAAACTTTTCTTAGCTACTCTACTCATCAAGGTTATGAGGTTAAGGGACTCACTCTCTCAAGGTCACTCAGCTAGGCGAAGAAGCGGCTGGGCTCGCGTGCACCATTGGATTTCCTCACACGGGCCTTTTTTTTTTTTTTTTTTTTTTGTTTTGAGTGGCTCCTGGGAGCCAGGAGCTTCAAGTGTCCTCGCCTTTCCCGCCAGCAGCCTCCTCCACCCCTAGCTCTCATCAGCTTCCCTCTGATGCTCAAGCTGCGGACCCCTCCTCCTCGGTCTCCCTCCCTCCTGAGGCCCCGCCCCTCCCCTTAGGCCAACGTCACGTGCCGCCCCATCCCCCCGCGCCTGCGCACTGCTTATTTCCCGCTGTCAGGATGAGGAGGCGGAGGTCGGCGCTCCGGTCCGTCTCTGCCCGGGGCTGTGGCGGCGCCGGCGGCTCCAGCCTTAGCGGTTCCTCCCTGGGCGGCGGCGGCCGCGGCTCGGTCGACGCCTCCTCCGCCAGCTGAGCCCGCGACAGCCCGGGACGCCGCTTCCCCGCCCATCCCCGTTCCCCGAGGCCGCCTCCTGGCCATGGCGCAGCCGGGCCCGGCTCCCCAGCCTGACGGTGAGGCGCCCACCATGGCGGGCGCGGCCTGCCCGGCGCGGCGTCGCGGGGGCCCTTGGGGCAGGAAGGGCACGCGCGTGGGCCCGGGGGGTGACCCGCGGGGACGGCGGCCGGAGCGCGCGGGCGGCGCGAGCCTGGGCCGCCGGGCTGGGGAGGGGGCGGGAGTCGCGCGCGGGCGGCCGCGGGGAAGGGCGTGGGGAGCCTGCGGGGAGCCGGTGGCGGCGAGGGAGCGCGGAGAGGAGGATGCGGTGGCATTAGCACGTGGGTTCCGCCTGTGGGGAGGATGGAAATCGAGAACATGTGCTATATTCGTTAAAAAAAAAAAAGAGTGTGCCCTCGTCTCGGTGGTGGCGGTGTGCCCTCTCGCCCCACCTCCGCCTCCTCAGGCCACGCTCCAGCGCTCTTTGCACCCGGTGTTGCGACTTGTAAAAAGTAACTGGGATCCGTAACGATTTGGTAGCATCCTTTGAATGGTAGTGTAGCTTAATGGTAAGTCCGGGCACATTTCTTAGTTCCTTAGGACCTCACTTTCTGACGCACAAAGAGTGCTTGATCTGTACCTCTTTATCGAGAAAGATGGGCAAGCATGGGCTAAGCGATAAAGATGGCAACATTCATATGTAAAAAGATAGCTTAGTATTGTTTTGAGAGTGTTAGAAATGAAAACGGTCGGTGCTCGAGAAAACCAAAGTCGAGGAAATCAGTCTTTCCCTTTGATCTCTTCCTTTCAATGTTGGGGGTCTCACTTTGTTGAGCATGTTGGCCTGAAACTTCTGAGCTGTCCTCCTGTCTCAGTAGCCGAGACTTGAAGGTGCAGGGCAAGCTGTCTTTTAATAGTGCTCATATTATATTTTTGGAAGGGAAAAAAGGCCTTGTCCTAAATAAGCCACAATGGTTATTAGAGCCCTTCATGACCTTCCAGCCGACTGAACTATGCTTCAGAGTTTTGATCACATTGTTTCAGATTTTTTTTTCTCAACCTGGAGTTACGTTTGGAAAGAATGTGCACGGTCCATGGCAAAGATCTTATTGTATCTAGTTGAGAAAGTTCTTTCAGGTGTATTTCTATAATTGATCTTCCTGCTTAGCATCTTTACCTGTAAGTAGAATGTTGGAATACGCGGTTGGCACAAGGGGTACTTCACTTGGACTTTCCTAAGAGTAGTCTCTTGAAATAACCTTTTGTGAAAATCTTTCTGTTTGTTCTTGCTGTGGGGGAACTGGAAACAATGTTATCAGATTTTAAGGCTCTTGCTGCTCTCTGGGAAGTATGCTCCAAAGTCCGTTAGCCTCTCTAGTTTTGGGATTTGTTAGTTGGCTAAGGTGTAATGCCCAGCCTGGACTTTTAATTCGATTGTTTTATTCCTGTGGAAGAGATGGTGGGCTGTCAGGAAACAGGGATGCTTTTGGAACCTTCTTTTAATTCTCACCTTTTGTATTTGGTGTCAGGGAAGAAAACTTTACAAACCCTCTTTGTTACTGCAGACAGAGGCAGAATACAGAGAAAGCTCTGGCTTCTGGTAGGTATGCTTAACTGGCTGCTGCCTTTCATAAACAACTCAGGTGACATGAGTCTGAACTCCACATTTCTGACTCTTTCAAGATATGAAATGGTCTTCCCTGCAAATAGGCAGAAGTGACTAAGCACTTTACAGCATCGAGGAAAACATTAAGATTGAGGAATCTCATATTCTTACTATTCCTAGTTTAGGGTTATTTCCCATTTTTCAAATCTTAAGACTATGGGATGAGATTAAGTTTACATTGTAATTGTTTTTAACTGTAAGGTAATGTAAATGGGTGACCATAACTATCATTTTCAAAAGGACAGAGAATTTGGTATGTTTGAGTTCTTGTGTCAGTGTCTACTTAGAAGTTCGTCTTGAGGAATTAGTTTTTTTCTTTAGTTGAGTGCATATTAATAACTTTAATTAAAAGCACACTTGAATTTCAATCTCTCCAAAGGAATTGGAGAATTCCTTTTTATCAAACAGACAGTAAAACATAACTATTTAGTCTTGGACTTTATTTTGCTTTCCCATAGTTTCAGAAGCAGTTGCTGAGTCTTTTTCTTTTTGGTATACTTTGCTTTGTTTTTCATGAGGATATGGTATATTAAGAAGTAGATTTGTGTGTAATTGCTACGATGCGATATAATCATTTACATTTTTATTTCATAGTTTTTGAAAGTTTTGGTTTTTTTGATGGTACATTTTAATGGACAAGTGTCAATTGATTAAATTATTGAAAATTCAAAGACAAGTGTAAGAAATTCTCAGATTTCAGTTTAAGGTAAACTATCTTAGAAGAATTTTCCTGCTTTTGCTTCACTAAAATTAAATTTTTAAAACTTTATTTGCATGTGTTTATGTGTGTATGTATGCATACTACACGCGTGTGTGTGGAGGTCAGAGGACAACTTGTGGGAATTGGTACTATGTGATTTTTGAGGTTGTCAGACTTGACAGCAGTCACATCTACTGAGTGATGTCACTGGCCCCTTTATTTTGTTTTTATATAATCCCTCTATTTAAAAAAAATTGTGCCGGGCAGTGGTGGCACAGGCCTTTAATCCCAGCACTTGGGAGGCAGAGACAGGCGGATCTCTGTGAGTTCGAGGCCAGGCTGGACGACAGCCTCCAAAACAATGCAGAGAAACCCTGTCTCGTAAAACCAAAAGAAAAAAGAAAAAAAGGATTTTGAATGTTTTCCCATAAAGAAATGATAATATTTGAAGTTATAGATATGTTTAACTTCATTTACACATTTTATAATATATACTAGCTTCTAAACATTGCTAAGCCTCCCCCATTGATGCTTTTATTTTATTTTTAGAATTTATTTTTATGAGTATCTTGCCTGCATGTTTGTGTGCCATGTACATGTCTGGTGCTCTTGGAAGCCAGAAGAGGTTGTTGGGTCCCTCTAGTACTAGAGTTATAGATGGTTGTGGGCCATCATGTGGGTGCTGGGAATTGAACTCAGGTTCTCTAGGAGAACAGCCAGTGTTCTTAATTGTTGAGCCATCTCTCCAGTCCTCCATTGATGCTTTATATATTAGAAAAAAGAATCTTAAGTAGAAATATATTTTCCCCATTTCTCAGAGGTGAGATTTCTGTTCTGCCTTTTATTCAGTTATACAGACATGTTACCTTTAATCCTTGAAATAGATGGGTATTACATACATAGGCCTGCAACTTTCTTATCTTACTTAGATGTTACTTATATGACTGTGTGTGCGTGCGTGTATGTATCTGGTTACATAGCTCTGTGACATGCCATAATCACTGCAGGTACTATCTCAAGGAATCTTCACATCAGCGAGGGGGATGCTATTGTAATATAGTGTTACCGGTCCTAGTTTTTGATGGAGAAACTGAAGCACAGAGAAATTAAACATGCTGGAGTTACAGTATGTTATAGAGTCAGGATTCAAACACAGCATCTGATGTCAGGACCTTTTGGTTTGTCTACTAGATCACAAGGACCATTGTCTGTTTATAGCTCTGCCTTGTTCTTATTAAAAGTCTATTCCATCATGTGTGTGGCATGAATGATGGATTTGCTTGTTTTTCTTCATTATTATTTTAATGATTTTTTTATTATTACTTTGTTTTATGTATACTTGTATTTTGCCTGCATGTATGTCTGAAGACGGGATTGATTGGATCCCTGGAACTGGAGTTACAGGTGGTCGTGAGCCACCATGTTGGTGCTGGGGATTGAACCCAGGTCCTCTGTAAGAGCAATCAGCTATCTCTCCAATATCTATTTTATTTTTATTATTGAGACAGGGTCCCCCTCTAGTCTAGCTGACCTCCAATTCATGATGATCTCTTGCTTTATCCTCTGGAGTATTGGAACTACAGGCATGAGACAACTTGCCTGGCAGTGTTCCCACTGGTGGACTGGTTGGTTGCTAATCTCTTTATTTTATAAGCAATGCTAAAATGATGTACTTTTTTCCTACCGGGATTTGAATCCAGGACTTTTTGCGTGCTAAGCAAGCACTATATTACTGAGCTGTAGCTCTAGTTTATTTTAACTTTTGAGACAAGGTCTCACTCTGACATAGCAGACCTTAAGCTTAAGATGCTCCAGCCTCACCTCCTTAGTGACTGGAATTGCAGGCCTGCACCACTGCTACTCCTGCTTTTATAACTGTGAGACTTCTAAGTTAAAGGGCACATTCCGGTGGATTTAAATGTTAAAGATGCTTAAGCTAAAAAAAGTATCAGTTTACATACCTGTCAAGGTGTATGAGAAGGTAGATTTCCCATTAAAAGCTTATGGTTGTCTGTTTTAAATTTGTCTTCTGATAGATTTTTTTAAGAAAGGCTATTTTTTTGTTTCTGTCTGTTTGTCCTGTCTGTGTCTGTCTTTCTCAGACACTCTTGCTAGGTAGCTCAAGTTAGTCTTGGATTCACTGTGTAGCCTTGGTTCACCTCAAACTAACACTAGTCCTACTTTATCTCCTAGATGTTGGGATTACAGGCATGCCCACAATACCTGAGGTATTCTTCAATTAGCATTTAGGTGCTTTGACTATGTCAGCCCTTAATCTCTAAGAAATACAGAGCCAGCCAAATCAGACCCAGTCTCTGTTCCTAGGTGGTCATTTAGTCATTAATTATATCATTCCACAGACAGTGTAAAACCATTTATTCAACTATTAATAATGTGTACTACTTGCTAGGGACAATTCTGGTAATTATAATCCACTGGTGAACATGACAGGTAATAAACAGTCCTGCTTAATGAAGGGAGAACAGGAACTGAACATACACAGGTTATATAGATTCTTAACCAATACGTGCTCTGCAAAACAGAAGAGCAGGGTCCAAGGACGAATTAGGCTAGTATTATTTTTATTACTTATGTGTATATGTATTTCTGGGGTCGGGTAGGTACATGTATATTTAGGTGCCCAAAAGCCAGAAGAAGGTGCTAGAATTCCAAGAGCAAGAGTTATAGATGGTTTGAACTACCTGGTGTGGATG